GTCGATAAACGTTTTGACAGAACTGCGGACAAGATTTGTGTGAACAAGTAACAATTCTTCAAAAAGTCCTGGCAAATTACAAAATTGTAACGGCGGTGGACCCCTTTCTTTATAGCTGTGAGCCCCGGAATTTTGTTCAAATTGGATTTTTTCCCAAGCTGTCCTACATCGTACGCGACACTGCATTCAGTCAGGTTTCATCCAATTCTATTCTGCTGTTTTGTTGAAGAAATCTTTTTTTTCTTCATAAAATCAAGTATTTAACAAGCTGTCATACTTGATGGTGGTTCGACACCACATGTATATTCATGCCAGGATATATTGTGCTAATTTTGTTCCAAATTGACCCCGTCCTTTTAGACTAGAAGTTTAAAATAGAATCACTGACAGACGCACGATGCATCAACACGGGACCGCAACATAAATCACTTGGTTTTACTACCAGGTGAGCTAAAAATATAAAAATATGATAAAGGTTAGCAAATTTAAAAGGAAGAAATTGTTGAAGAACTCTAGAATATATATACATATACATATGCATAGATAGATAGATAGATAGATAGATAGATAGATAGATAGATAGATAGATAGATAGATAGATAGATAGATAGATAGATAGATAGATAGATAGATAGATAGATAGATAGATAGATAGATAGATAGATAGATAGATAGACATACAGAGATTTGATGCGATAGATACTTCTAGTATTCATCATTATCCGATTACATGTGAGAAACCATGCTATTCTGACTATTCATGTTTGTAGAACAAGTTCGGTCACATAAAATAATAAAATTCACTAAACATCATTTGCCATCAAATGTAGATTACTTTATTTATACGAGAGAACTTTTTAATTGGTTCCAAATATCTGCATTTCAACAGATGTTGGGTAGTAATGATTTGTGGTCAAATTGTGTAGTAGTGGGTGATGCTGATGTAATAGATGGGGTGGGAGGTGATTGATGGGGTCATAATTCTTAAAGATGACTGTTGGTATAGACTCACACAACATAAAAATGAACACTCTATAAATACTCTTTAATTTGAAATTCAATGGCTAGATCCCCAATAAACCTTGATCAATGTTGGAACAACTAATATAGTTTATATACAAGCAGGAATAATTATAACTGCATTTTAGCCAGATCGTCTCTGAGAAAAATATGGGTATAGATTTATGGCTATTTGACAGTGTATAAAATATATAAGGATATTAATATTTAGCAATCAATCTCTGTAATATCTTATAATTCTTTGTCTGCCTCGATGTCTTGTTCAAGTTTGACAAGCCACTAGTCCAATTAGGAAATTATTGTTAGTGAATCCATCATTAAAACACACAGGTGTGGTACTCTTGTAAGTAATATGTATGTATGTATGTATGTATGTATGTATGTATGTATGTATGTATGTATGTATGTATGTATGTATGTATGTATGTATGTATGCATGCATGCATGCATGCATGCATGCATGCATGTATGTATGTATGTATGTATGTATGTATGTATGTATGTATGTATGTATGTATGTATGTATGTATGTATGTATGTTTGTAGGGTGATAGGTAGGTAGTTATTGTGACGAAACTATGACCTTAATTAAGTAACAGATATAACCAGAAGCAAGGTTTTTCTTGGATCTTAACAAATAATTTAATTTTCCAAGTTATAAAATTAGAAGTTAAGAGTGTATTGTGAATGAAATACAAAATAATCCAGAATTTAAAAGAATTGAGTGTTCCGAATACAATCCGGAAGTTGAATGTGCTGATGTAGCAATAGCCTTGAATATGCTGAATTGCATTCATGATATATCACAGTGATATTATCCAGAATGTCCTTGAAAACATTCACAACAATCCAAAAATAATTTTTGTTCGAAACAGTCATATAAGCACATTGAAATTTCAATAAATAATTTAAATACATGATTCCCATCAAGTGAAACCGAAACACAACATTAAGTACTTCCACAGACTGTAAGTAAAGTATGAAAAGTAACTGTTATCTAGTGGGAAAAGTCAGTTAGGTTTTAGAACCAATCCCTTTTCCAAACTTGTGAAGGATTCGATATATAATACAACAACAGCTTTGCCACCTAAATGTTCCAAAGAAAATTGCAGACGTTGAACAGCGGTCATCTTTTATCATTTTTCAGGTATTTTGTTTAACAAAAGTGTGCTTTAGTTTTCTTTATGTTTCAGTTTTCCTTTAATATTCCAACAATTTGAAAATAAATGTACATTGCTTTAGTTACCCAAACTTGTGTTAATGCGCATTGCTTTAGTGAACAATCGTTTCGCTAAGATGCAATGTTTTGGGGCCCCGAGTGGCCGCGTGGTCTAAAGAGCTTACCGTTACTGTCATCTCACCTCTCTTTGCTTGGGTTTGAGTCTCGTGCTCAGCCACTGTGGGTACACGAGAAAGCTTGCCAGTAGTTTCACATGGATCGGCAGTTCTTTACGGGGGTTTCCTGTGTTCTTCCACCACCATGAATGGTCAATCGTATTCTAAAAACTGGCGTTAAACCCCATAATAGCATGTCAATAAGCAATGTTTCAATGACCTAATATTGTATGAATGTGCTCAGTTTTATTGACCTAGCATTATTTTAACTTGCCGTACTTTAATTACCTAACACTGTCCAACATTCAGTCAATATGCTGAGTTTTAGAAATCTTATAGTTTGTTAATATAGTGTTTTAGAAACGTAACATTGTATCAATGTGCAGTGTTTTAGCAACGTAATATTAAATCAATGTGCAGTGTTTTAATAACGTATTGTTTTGTCAATGTGCAGTGTTTTAGTAACGTAACATTGTGTCAATGTGCAGTGTTTTAACAAAGTAACGTTTTGTTAATGTACAGTGTTTTAATAACGTAACGTTGTGTCAATGTGCAGTGTTTTAGCAACGTAACATTGTATCAATGTGCAGTGTTTTAATAACGTAACGTTTTGTCAATGTGCAGTGTTCTAATAACGTAACGTTGTGTCAATGTGCATTGTTTTAGCAACGTAACATTGTATCAATGTGCATTATTTTAATAACTTAACATTGTATTAATGTGCAATGTTTTAATAATGTAACGTTGTGTCAATGTGCAATGTTTTGGTAATCTAAACTGTGTTAATGTGCAGTGTAGTGTGATAGTGACCTAGCCATGTGGTAATTTACAGAGTTTAAGTGACCTTTGTACGATTGAAGATAAGAGTCAGTTATCGAAAGTGTTTTCATTGGCAGCGTCAACAACGCAGTCAGCGTCGGAGGTATTGACCAAACCCTTTCCAGTTCCAACACTGTTAAGGTCACCAAGATATAAGTCACTGGAGACCATCATCCTTTGTGTACTAGACGCTTACCTACTAGAATCAATTAAGATCATATCTAGCGATGTTTGAAGCCACATGACACTTGGGTACTAATGACATATAACATTTCCTATAATGACTCTGAAGGAGTTTACTGTTATGGGAATCAATTGCACACCAGACAAAGGAGTGACAATGAACATCTCAATCCCTTAAAATCGGTTCAAATGCGTGTGAAAATTCAGTTTGTTCAAGAACTAAAAAGAAATCAGAAATCTGAGAGAAGTGAACCTGACTACAAAAGCTTCACTTATGTAGGATGTAAACTTGGAAATAGATGGCCAACAGCAACATTACAGAAGTCACGGCTGCAGTCAGAAAGTCAAATTGTTATAAGGGGATAATACAGAGGAGAATCATCACTGATTCGATAATCGGAAAAAAAGAAGCTCTTTACTTCCATTCGTTGGATGTGGTGTTCCTTGTCAACGTCTGACAGATCTATTTGCTTGCTGTAGGCGTACAGTCTTGCATAAGCAATACCGATTTTGAAATGGTTAGCATTGGTCATCAAATGGAAGACTATGCTACTTCAAAACGTTTGAAACGCACGTCCTCTCCAGTTAGCATATATCCAGTTATATACGTCATATATCCAGTTATATACGTCCACTCCAGTTAGCATATATCCATATATCCAGTTATATACGTCCACTCCAGTTAGCATATATGTCTTGCGACCACATACCCACGTGCAAATAATCCAGAAATCGAAACTGTGACTTAAATTCGTAATTGTCATTTGCGTCATCATCAACAATAACACTATGAGAAACCATGCTTGGTTTGGGTGCTATAGGTATGTTGTTTATCTGTGAAAAATATTCTACATATAATTCCGTCCATACCTAAAAAAAACATTTGTACACTTTATTTATTTACAAGTAGTTTTAATATAAAGACTTTGCAACAAGTTCTATGATCCTTTATAAAACCATGCTTTGTGTTATCTATTTTGTCAGTTGTGTCAAGATAATTCAATAGTTATTATGAATATAAACAATGTTCTAATACTAGTAATGATTTAACTGTCAGAGTAGTTATTTGCTTTGTTTGGATTTTTTCTTTTTCGTCAAAATATTTGTTTACAATACTAACCAGTTAAGTCTATGTCAATGTCATCACGAACCTAGTCTTCGGCTTCGTATCTTCACCATCTTCTGCATTGCAAACCTAAATGTCTTCAGGATTAGAAATTGATAAGTATTTAGATTATTTATTAGTGTATATTGTACCGGTAAACATATTACTTGACACGGTATACCGTTCTCCTGCAACTGATCGTGTTATATTCTCTAACAATATGACACTCAATCAGCAGCCTCTGCAACCTCTTCAGTGACAGAAAAAATACCAATGGTAAGTGTGTGTGTGTGTGTGTGTGTGTGTGTGTGTGTGTGTGTGTGTGATTTAGATTTTTTAAAGTAGCTTTAACAATTTTTCAGCTATATCGCTACGATGCAGTGTGACAGTTTATAGGGATGTCTAGCACTGGAGCATCATGCCGCAGACATGTGGGATGAACCACCCAGTCACATTATCCAGGTCAACCAGTACTAACCTCTTAATACTGAGCGCCAAGCGAGGCAGCTGTTAGTAGTATTTCTTAAAGTCTTAGGCATGAATTGGCCAGGATTCGAACCTGCAACTTCCCGCATCCGAGGCAGATGCTCTAACCATTAGGCCACCGGAGCGGTTCACCAATGGTAAAGGTAGGTACACATTTGAATTAAATGATTTCTTTTATTTTTACAGTGAAAGCATAATACTAATGATTGTTCAGTTGTAAGATGCAATTGATGTAACTTTAACTATAATAATAGTATGTTAGCCCCTTAATTAATGGTCATGCAAAACATGATGCAGATTTTAAATATAACGGATGATGATGATGATGATGATGGTGGTGGTGGTGGTGGTGGTGGTCAGTCATTTTTTTAGACGATTGGTCAGCAGAATGTTGTCATGAACAGATTGACATGCGGGAGAATGGTATACCGTGTCAAGCGTTAAATAGACTAACATAAAAGACAGTTCGTATTGACGAGAGTGATTCTAGTCATATGGTGTGTCTGTCCGACGTCAGTCATTTGTCCTCAAGCTGGTCGATAGGGGAAATTAGGCCAATGACCTTTTATTAAGTGTTGCATGTGTGTATATTTCTACAACTGTATCATCTTAAACTAAGTAACAAAAGAGAGCGAAAGCCAACATGTTTTGTACGATTAAAATATAATTTATTTTTCTAACTTACAAAGTGAAGAAGTGAAAATTACTTACAGTATGGTGAATGAAATTCTAAACAGTCCTAAATAGTTTTGTCAAGTCCAAACGTATCATGTAATCCAAAAGAGTTCCATCAGGATTTGTAATAATGTAAAAATATCGGTGAAATCACAACATAATCACAAAATGTCTTTAAATGAATTCGCAGTAATTACGTAAAAACTATAACTCAAATAGTCTGAATAGTTCAAGAATAATGCAAATCAAATGAACGATCGAATTAAATAAACGAATCCCTTCAAGCAAACATATTTAAATATTTTCGAAGACTAATAATAATACGAAGACTGTCAAGTTAATCGAATGAGTATCGCACAATGCTAATATCAACTGAAAACAAGTCAGGTTATTCTCTCTAGCTATCCAGGAATTTTGGCATCCTGGCCTTTCAAGAACTCATGTTCTGAAGTTTAAAGCACGTGATGTTTACCTGAATAGCACAACTCAACGTTATGAAATAATTTTACGCACTATACAAGAATGACTACTCTTTAAAGTGTGATCTTAGATCAATAAGAAAATAAGTATTTAAAATAGTATGAACTAAATGATCCTTACAATCTGTGATCATAAATATAATACACATAATGTAGATGTAAATAACATCATCAATATCATCTTGTACAAATATTACACCTACCGTCTCATTTTACGTTCAATGGTAAAACGTTAGATTACTGCACTATGCACAGCTTATAAATATAATGACTTAAAATATTTTTTATCAAACCTTTTGTTTTGGTATATCTAAAGAATCTTTACTGAACATGTGTTAGGGTCAGTGTCCATTGCTTGGACTATTAATGGATTTAAACGAAATTTGGTATTTGAGTGCAAAATTAGAACTTTAAACCATAAAGATCTTAGGTTTGGGATCTACTGTAGCATGAATGATTTCTGTATTATCTTTAACATTTAAACATGGTCATTAAATCACATTGACAAAACATAAATTCAATGAACCATTAAGTAACTTAAACGATTGTATCATTGCTCAGTAGCCAGAAAAGAATAAAAGTATAACAGTAGGGAAGAAACCAACCTCGTGAAGCCTTACAAATTCAAGGCAATAAAGCAGCCAAACTCGCTAAATGTCACTTCGTATCAAATTTGGCTTAAAGCATGTCTTCTGTTTATATATAGTATCCTTTACTTGTCAGATATAGGTCGATAAGAAGTAATTCATTTAGAAAAAAGACAAGCAAGTTAAAAAAATTATAAATGGTCATTCATTTAATATTTGATGATCCGAAATGCAAAAGTGAAAAAAGCACTGTAATGAAGCTGTATTTTCTAATTTCCTAAATCATACTATTCACTGACCTTGGTTAAACTCCTCCAAATATACAAAATTTGTTATAAATTTTATATGTAGCAGTTGGAATAATTTGCATAGAAATGGTACTGATATAACAGACACTGATTTTTTTCAGATCGATCGTCAGATTGTATTAGTGGAAAATTTAAAAACATTTACAGGTGACATTTTAGAGCATTTGAATTGTATGAATAACCACGATCATAGACGATATGACAGGCATTTTGAGAAGAAATTTTTTTTTCGACCCATTCAATGACAAATTTAACTAATGAATTTGAAAAAGAGTCAAACTTCCTATTATTTTTAAATATTTCGATATCTTTTGACAATACGAATAAAATCTCTCTCTCTCTCTCTCTCTCTCTCTCTCTCTCTCTCTCTCTCTCTCTCTCTCTCTCTCTCTCTCTCTCTCTCTCTCTCTCTCTTGTCAGAAATGTTTTAAAGAGTCATTCTGCTGAACTCTTTGGACGTCATATTGACATCCGTAATATCAAATTTCCATGTAGTCGTATGTTACATCAACCTAAAGAAAAAAATTCCATGTAGTGACCTACTCAGAAGTTGCATCTACCCATCCTAATCTAACAATAGATTTTGTTGACAAAAACAGACCAGTCATAACCATGCACAATGAACGTAACCCTAATTATCACTCAACTACTGATATTGTGTTAAAAATCGGATAATTGTTAAAAAATCATCAGTTAACCAAACGATGTAGACGCTGATCTATCAGCAAATGATGTGAATGCAAATCATGGTCAGTGTTGTTACCAGTAGGGTTCGTCTTATTAGTGAGTATAGACGATTATATTTTGTTTATGTACGATGAGTTCTAAAACTGCAATGATTTCAGTTGTTTCAAACGAATATAAATATTACGCATAATTTATGATCAAACGTTGAATAAAAATATATAATTAAATGGATAAACAACTAGATAAATCACCTCTTAGAGCAGTGGTTCTCAATGTGGAGTTATTATTGAGGGAATCGCTATTGCTGAATAATGCTTGTTACTGGGTAAGGAGGGAGGTAGACCTCTGGATAACCAAAGGGGCGGTGGCCCGTGAAAAGTTTGTAAACCAGTTTTAGAGGATGTCCTCGTGATTTTTTTTTTGAAAGCTTCTTCCTGATCCGAACGGATATTACCTATGTTTTGGTTCCAAAAATGGACTATAAGTCTCACATCTTCAGATATCCCAATAATCTGATGATATTTTAGCGCTGGTATTTAGCAAAATAATCCGAATTTACACATTGGATGATAATGCAGATGTTTCTTCACAAGGAAAGAAAGTAAAACATTACAAATTTTTCATCATGATCGCAGTATTTCCTTGAATCCTGCATTAGACTCAAGCATGAAGCGTTTCGTCTAGAATTAGATTCTGTTGAACCCATTAACATGAAATAAAAAATATTGTATGAAATATAGAATCAATGATGTTCTGGCTAAATATATGAACTAGATTAGGCGTTCGAATCTAAATGTAAACGAAACGATATCATTCAGAAGGATGCACGATCAGTTTAGTAGTTGAATTGCCTAACGTCATTTTTCATGTCGCACACACGATGACGTCATAATCCTGGTGAGATATATTTTCTCAAGAGTCATACGCATTACAGTGGGGTACTTTCCTTTGGAAAGTAATACCACTGCCACGACGATGTAAATTTGGTTGTACAATACCACCTGGTGTAAACCAAACACTTTAGTAACTACTTCAGACTAAATTCATATTGGATTTAATTAGGTCTTCTCATTTTATTGCTTTGGTGCAGAATGAGTAGAGACTGACGAAGTAACAAGGTAGCGCGTGACACATGCACAATATCAGGTTACAATAAAGTGCATCTGTTCCGCCTTAACTAGAGTGCTTATTTCTTTACCTTACTTTGATTGGAAATCAGTCTCTGATATTAGATAAAACAAAACATAGGATCCAGTCAGTACCAGATTTAGGCATAAGCTTAAACAAGCTACAGCTTAGGGCCTCAAAGTCTGAACTCAGTCTGAAGGGGTCCCTCAAATTTATTTTATACCAAATATTGCCTCTATAGTTTCCCAAAGCTTAGGGCATCGCTTTGTCTAAATCCGGCACTGGATCCAGTCAATGTACTAGTTTATTAATGCGCAAAGACGATTCACTTACGTTTAATTGGTCCCAGATGTCTAAACCATTCAGGCGGAGATGTATTCGGCAATAGAAAAAAAAACTGTGGCTGAAGGAATGAAACTACAATGTATCGACTTTGCATAACCAATCGGCAAGTCATGTTTCTTTATGTTTTGCAAACCTATAATTCCAAATGAATGTTAAAGTCCAAGAACATTAAAGTATTTGATACTGACACTTTCCTATGTTCTAAACATGATTTAATGATTTAACGAGGACGACACACTAAAATTAAAAGATATCAAAGAGTTTGAAAGTAATCTCTTACCTAAAATATTAGGTGTGTTAAAGATGAATGTTACTTTGTATGCTTTCTATACCATTTTAAAACGGAAATACCATGATGATATGCATTATATCATCCATTTAGTAGACAAATTTACAGATTTGATGTCCACTCAGAAAATAAGTCTGATTCCTAATGACTCAAACATTTTGCATGTTTACTTTGAAACTGAAAGCTGAGCTGTAAACACCAAGTGTATCAGCAGCAACACCTAAGAAATATATTTTACTAAACTATTTATTACTCACTGAGCATTACACACTGTTTACTTATGGTTTGAATGAAGGGCGGAAAGCCTAAAGTACCGATAAACTTTCTGTTTGTTATGTTCAAACTGTAGGTATAAATAACATAATGTCATTAAGAAGAGCCAAAACATAGTTCAAATTAAATATATATAACACCTGGTTAATAGTCCCTACATAAACTAAACAAGATATTTGAAAACCTTGGGTGTTCGCATCAAAGTGAAATTATCTTTTGAATTATCTTTGATATGCATTGACTCAGAAATGATTTACGGTTAGATCTAAGACGAACTTTGCCATTCAGCAAGAAAAAATTTGTGTGGCATGCTGACGCGATGATTTATGCCACCCTTTAATGAGAAAGA